AAAAAGCTTTAAAACCATACATTTCCTATGGTAAATTGCCTGTATTGGCTGTAAATTGTCTTTTCCATCTATGATCGTATACTTTTCATATCATAATGTTTAAAACCAGTGCAGTACAATTCTCTGGACTCTCTACATCAATAATTATCAGAAAAGGTTGAACTTCTTCATTTGAATGGCTATAATAGTGTAAATTGGATGGCTGTAACATTTTGGATGGCTATAACAGCCAATAAGTGGTATTTTACTGCCCCCTGCTGTCATTTCATCATACTACTCCCTAATATTGTTATATATAATTGAAATGTAGACTTTATTAAATCATTATTTTAACATTTACAATCACATTTTGTCCAAATTCATCTATTGGAGTATTATGGACTGCATTTATTTATTTTATTTATTACTATTTACAATTGTGTCACAGGAAGGCTAAAATACGAAAGTATAACGTTGGGCCACGCCCCCCAAGTACAAATTCACTCATAACTCGAAAACAGAAAGTCTCTGCACGCTAGGTAAGGTTCTCTCGGGGTTCTTGATCCAAATCTGTCGTCGCGGGGCTCGGGAACGCCCCCCGCGATGAATTCTTAGTTAGTTAATGTTAACTACATTAGTTAACATTAACTAAGAATGAAGAATACTCCTTCAGCATTTGTTAATCTTTGTTAATGTTAATTTCAACATTTACAAATACTTTATTAAAATCTTGTTAACATTAGTTAATGCACTGTGAACTAACATGAACTAACAATGAACAGCTGGATTTGTATTAACTAATGTTAACAAAGATGAACAAAAACAGTAACAAATGTATTGCTCATGGTTCATGTTAATTAATACATTAACTACTGTTTAATAAATGAACCTTATTGTAAAGTGTTACCGACATTTTTAATCTTTTTTATCAGCTTTCAGCATTGGCTAACAAACAAACGCTTAAAGCTATTTTTTTATTAGTTTTAATATAGTTTTATATTATTACATCACAAAGAAATATGTTAAATGCATGCTTATACACCATTAAAAGAGATTTTCACAATAACATATCCCGTGTGTGTGTGTGTAAGCATATGTCTACATATGAATGCAAAAGCACTTGTGTGACCAGCAGAGGGCAGTAGAAGACCACTTATTGGCTCACTTTCATTTTGACACACTTGATTAGGGATGGGAATTGATAAGAATTTAACAATTCCGATTCCATTATCGATATTGCTTATCGATTCGATTCCTTATTGATTCTCTTATCGATTCTCATTGGGTGAGGGAATAAGTACAAATTTGTTTGTTTGTATTAACTTATTGAACTTATAACTTATTTTGTTTGTTAATTATTATTAACTCGCTGACACAGCACAGAGTATTAGGGGTGTGAACCTACAATGGTCTCACGGTTCGGTTCGATTACGATTATCATGTTATCGATTCAGTTCAATTTGATATCTCGATGCATTACATGCACTGCATCCTCAATTTTACTTCAAAAGTGATGTGTGTGTGCGTGCGCGTGTTCACCCGTTCGTGAAGTCGCAGTGACAGAAACAGTGACATTCCAGTTTAAGTTGTGTGTGCGCGTGCGCGTCTCATATGAGTATGTGCCTGGAGAGTTTTGCGCATCTCGTGTGTGTAGAGTTTGCATGTATGCGTGAGCGACTTTAGGTGTGTCGTTGTGCATTTCATATGTATTTGTTTGAGCATTCAGCAGTATACATGTATGTTTGACTACTTAGTATACGTGTATATGCAAGTGTTTCATATATGTGTGCGTGAATGAAGTTTGATTTAAGCCCTAGACGGCACCTCATATATTGTCATCTTTTCGCGTGAAATATAACCAAACGAGCGCTTCTGCCTCGATGTCATGTTTGATGCGTTCTGAATCAAAATAACGCAGCGCGTGTGTGACGTCATGACACATTTGCAACGAGCGGAACCGATAAGCGGAATCGTTAAGCAGGCATACTAACGGTTCCAGGGAATTGGTTAACTGGGCACCGGTTCTGAAGAAGAAACATGGTAAATCATTGTAAACAATACTATTACATGGTGTATCATGGCAAATCATGCTATAATCCTGCGGTAAATCATTCTAGAATGTGGTATATCATGGTAAATCATCCTATAACATGGTAAATCATGCTAGAATCATATTAAATCATACTAGAATAAGTTCAATTGTGGTAAATCATGCTAGAACAGGGTAAATAATGGTGAATCATACTAGAACTTGGTGTATCATGGTAAACTATGGTAAATCATGCTAGATTCATGGTAAATCATACTGGAACATTGTAAATAATGAAAAATAACACTGAAATGTGATATATCATGGAATATACCATGTTTTAGCATGATTTACCATGATATATCACATTTCAGTGTTATTTTTCATTATTTACAATGTTCCAGTATGATTTACCATGAATCTAGCATGATTTACCATAGTTTACCATGATACACCAAGTTCTAGTATGATTCACCATTATTTACCCTGTTCTAGCATGATTTACCACAATTGAACTTATTCTAGTATGATTTAATATGATTCTAGCATGATTTACCATGTTATAGGATGATTTAGCATGATATACCACATTCTAGAATGATTTACCATGTTTTAGCATGATTTACCATCTATGATCTCAGTGGTTAGATGCTTGCTATATAAAACTTAATGTATTTTGATGCTTTTGTGCTTAACGGCCTTAAAGGCCTTAACTGCTTGAACACCGCTAAATGCTGCTTGCAGCTTTAATTTTTATTGGTATCGGCGGCATTTCCGATACTAGTATCGGAACAACTCTACTTTCTAAGAAATAAACATGTAATATTATTAGTTACTGCACTTATTAATGTAAAAAAAAAATACTTTTATGATTAAATTACCTTTAGATTAATAACCCCCCCTCACCGCTTTCAAAATCAGGTGTTGGCACCACCATCTGTAGAACTTAGTGGCACCAGTGCTGCTGCTCTCAAATGTTATTCTGGAGCCCTGAGCTATCCCATTTATAGCCAGTATTCACACCATGGAGACCTGAGTCACGGTACAGGGTGATGTTACCACCAGCGCCCATGATCATGTCTGAGGAGGAAGGCTGAACAGTACAACTCACGCCCTAATTAGAGGGAACAGATGCTCTGCAGGGTAAACAGCTTGATATGAACAACAATAAATTGCATCAGTCGGCTGGAGTAATCACTAGAGAAGAAAACTTCTCAATAGCTCCAAACACCCCCACCCTGCAGGTTATGTAAAGTTTAAAGCATGCACAAGCACACCCACTCACACATACACAACTGGTATTGTTCGGCTGTGATATCTGCTTACTGATGTCCTCGAGCTGGTTCTTCATAATTACTAATACATTATCATGGAAAATGAACTGTATTTGTGCAAACACACACAACGCTCCACGTTTGAATAAGGAAAGAACGCACTGTTTGCAGATCTATCGGATGACACCTTGATCTTATGTGCGTTTCAATCAATCACTCTCATTTGGTTAACAACAGTCCTTTAGTCATGGATTGAATTCTCCTGGATTATGGTGGATCTACAGGGATAAGCTTTAAAAATGATCACAGCATATTTCATAATGACTGACCTTTCTCTTTTGGTTATTTTGTGAGCACAAAATTTCCACAAAATAAATCGTCCTCACACCAGCAGAAGATTAGCTCGCGAACATCACCTGTGGGAAGTAAAGCTTTCCCGTTCCACACCAGGAGACTTTGTTAATGTAACATAGTAAACTAGCTGCCAGGATGTGTCTCACAGGACTATTAGCCACAGAAACCATCCACATCTTCAAGATTACATTACGCCGGGGGGGACAAGATTACGTGCGTTTCAAACGATAACGTTAGCAAACATAACCTGACCTTTTTGAGGGTCAGAAGTCCTCAAGAGGACCTCAAGAGAGTACGGTTTACGCATAATGCAAAATATCAGTTTGTACATCGAATAGTTCACCCAAAAACGAAATAATTTCGCCTAAATGTCGTTCAAAATCCATTTGGCTTAACGTTAACTTACTTTATTCGGTGAAACACAAAAGATGTTAGTCAGAATGACAGCCTCAGGTTCACTCACATTGTATGAGATAACATACAATGGAAGTCAATGTTGACTGAGGCGTCCCTAACGTTCATTTTAGGCGAATTGACCGTTTATATTCCCCTCAGGCTGCTGAGGCTAACGGTTACAAGACACCTGAAGCTGACAGAGTTTCAAAAAACAAACCGTTGATAAATCACACACGAATCTTCATTTAACCATTATACTTAAATACTTAAACATAACACCAACCAGAATGCCTATGTGCCTTGTGTTCTTCTCTTTCTGACACAACTGGGAATGTTTTGTTCTTCTCACAGGACAGGGAATCGAAGCTCCTCACAGAGAGAACAAATTGCAGGGTTTCCCCTTTGGTTTCCCCTTCGATGCAATAGCGCGAGGACACACCCAGAGAGGCGCGAGAGAGGCGCGGTGGACGTCACCCAAGGGGGTGACGTCAGATGGATCGACTGATTACCTCTTTATCAATCAGCAAGAGAGCCTCTTTACACTTTACATGAAATGTACCCGTTTATGTATGGCAATTAAAAAGACCATATTAGCTAGTAGTGCGAAACGTGCACACTTCAACGTTAAATGACTACGCTGACATCAATGATTGTGAAATGGTACAAAAATGCGCTAATACGTATAAATAACAAAATCGTGAACGCTAAGGATAGGGTTTACATGCGTTACTGGAATGCCCAAAAAAATATTTTCACAGTTGAAGTAACGTAAAAACTGTAAACGATTACATTTCTCACCGAAAAGCTGTGCAGAAATGAATACTTGCAACAGGCACACAAAAAAAATATCTCGTGAACAAACACGGCGCGGCTCTGATGACCGTTTACAAGATGGAACATGCACGCGCACACCTGTGGACAGAATAATCAAAGTGAGTAAAATAAAACGGGAAAAATAACAAACCTACCTCAGACTGAAGGGTTGTCAGAAAGAGTGAAAGCCGCACATGGGACGTTCCTCCTCGTTCAGTGCATCGAGAAGCGAGCCCTGCTCCTCAAAAACAAGCCCTCTCCTCAAAACTCCCAAAGATTAAAGACGCAAAAGGTCTCTAAGTAAACACTTGCACGGATAGGCAATGTATTTCGTCGCTTGCGAACCGTGTTTGTTTACTCTGCATCTGGAAACTAACTTTAGAATTGGTGCCAGTCAACCAGCAGGATGGAATTAGTCGCTTTTCCTACATGTAAAATGTGACCTCCGCGTTTAGGCTGAAAACATATAAACTTTTTATATCACGTCGTTGAAAAGTAAGAAGACCGTCTGCTCGAACCCAATCCAACAGCCTTTTCTCGTCCAGAGAAAAGAGGAAATAATCACAAGAGGGATTGAGGTATGTTCCGCTTTGGCTACGGAACGCAAACGCTACAGATCCAAGTTTTGTCTTGTTTTCTACGTGTTAACTGCTCTATTTGTTGCCCCCCGTTTAACCGCCGGGAAAAGTGCGGATAAACGCAACCTTTCACCGCGCAACGAAAAAGACAGTTTCAATCACTGGTTGCCGTGGCTGGAAATCGAAAGAGGGAGATAGAGATTCAGTCTGAGGGTTGGGAGAGCTGTGGCGGAGAGGGAGGGACTTGTGTGTGGGATCAGTCATTTAAGGTGGATCACAAGGAAAATTGAAGCAAATGAATGGTCAGATCCTGGAACTCCCAACACCTCGACTTGCTAGACAGGAGTAAATTATAAATAGTGCGTGGAACAGAAATATTGGTATACGTGATTGAAATTATATACAAAAAGTTGAAATTAAGCCACCAGGCTTCAATCATAAAGCAAGAGTGTCGCTAAGCTCTTCAATTTGTAGACCTAACAATCAGAAGTAATTCGGATTTTCCAGACAGGAATTTTTATTTATTTTTATATTATTTGTTGATGGCGGTTTTGAGTTTATGAAAAAAGTTTGTGACTGACACTACGTAAAGAGACGTACGTAAATGCATAGTCTCCATAAACCCTACGTAAAATGTGATTTTTAAAGCTGTTTAATGAAGGTGATAAGTTTCTACAGAAGGACTACAAACTACCACAAGGATGCACATTTATGTGCTTGATTTTGTAAAGTTCATTTCACTCCAGTCCAATAGATGGCGGAAATGCATATTAAGCTATTTTGGCATCCATTAAACACAAATGCAAAATAAGGACTAAAAGCATAAAAGCAATGATGCCTTCATGTGCTATTCAAAATTTCCTACTCCCCGAAGTTGTGATTACGAGCTCGTTGCATTCAAGTACTTTGTTGTCGGAAAGAACGGGATTCATGGAGGACACCAGATTTATTCTTGCCTATTTATTGGAATTTTTTTATTAAAGCCTAAATGATATTTAACATTCTAGCTATTCATTGACAACCAAACATTCACCGTGCTATCTAATGCTGCGTTCCAGGCAACCTGTAACCCGTGTTTTTCCAACCTTATACCCGTGAAAGTGCACTGGAACGGCAGTCAAACCCGTGACTTCCCACCCGTGAACTCGTACTAGATCGATGTACTCCCAGTTACGAGTTCTGACGTCACATAGCCCGCGGAACCATACAAAACAACAATGGCAGCCCTGTATGGCTGTGTATAAAACAATACACTTAAAACGATTATTCATACATTTGAACATTAATGACAATACAAGGCAATGTAGCTGTTGTGGAATCAAAGCATCTCGTTCTCCCCTCCGCCAAAGTTTATGGCTCGCCCATCTCGGGAACTTCGATTCCCAGTGGTAAATACGACTTGTGAGGGCGATCATCATGTCCAACTTTTAACTAGGAAAATTGTATTTACGATAATTCCACGAGAAAATCTTGGGTTTTAGTCTGTTTATTTCAACACAATATTGGGCTTTGGAAATAGGCCTACTGTCTATTTGGCGTCTGCTTAAACTACTTATTTGAAAATGAGAATAGGGAGGTATTGTAAAACTAAGTTCCCACATTTCACACCTATCTTGTGTGACTAATGTAAAGAAAGACATGATAATTGTAGCATGATACAAGAGAACTGTTGTCAAATAGGCCTACATAGTGGTTAACAAACATAATTTTATTTTGTCCAGACATGTGATCTCATCAGTATTTTGAAACTATTAGCTCATTCCGGCTTCCTCACTGAACCAGTAGCTAGTCCACAGGTGGCACATTACTGTTTAGTAGCCATGGTTACCTATAATTTTATCATTATTGCATACTCTTAAAAGGGTGACTGCACCATGTCTTCTGAGATTTCATAGATGTTTTTATTCCCTGGACAGTTCTGTGACTGTTGCATCTATATAATGAGGCTGAGGCCTTATGAGTTTCAACAATTATAGTGTGATTGCCACTGTTTAGTTTACATAGAAAGCTGTAATCCTTAGAAAAGGAAAATCTCTGCCTTTCTGAAATAAAAGTGCTATTGATGCTTAACAGATAGGAAATGAAACATGCTAGATAGGGCGGAACACGTAATTTAGGGTACGTTTAGGTTACGTTTACCATTCTCAAAACGAACGACTAAAAACCCTGTAATCTGCTGCCATGCCATTAGATGGCGATGAAACACTATAGACTAAACACATAATACGCATGTGCATGTACACAGAGACCGTTTTCAAAAACTTGCACTTTGAAACCCGTTTTCAAAAGTTTGCGTTTTTCAGGCACCCAAAACGCTGTTGTCGTGTAAACGAACGGCCAAAACGCATTGAAGATTTTACGTTTTTAGTTGAAAACGGTGTCGTGTAAAGTAAACAACCCCTTAGGCCATGTCCCATGCATGTCAGGTAGAGGTGTAAGACACAATGCAACCAACATGGATTAAAAAAAGTAAAAAAAATTGCCTGCTGATATTACTCCAAAAAAATATTCAACAAAATTTGAAAGTTTGAATTTTATTAAATTTAATGTCAACCTCTCTGCCCTGATGAAAACCAAAAGGTTGAAATGTTGCATTGGTGTACGGACGTTCTTTTGATCATGTTATAAGATTAGGTTCCCAATGCTGATGATATTGCAACATCAGTTGTGTAACTGTGCAGTCATCATTTGTGTAACTGTGCAGTCATCATTTATTTAGATGCTAACAACACGAACTAAAACTGTGTCGTAATCCTCTTCTCATGCGTCTTGAGGCACCGCTTAAGAGTTCACAGGCCGAATAACGAGTTGCATAACTAATATCAGTGTTCCTTCAATGGCATCATTTTAAATCATCTTAAATTATCTGGCTGTATTTGGTTTTCTGTTGTTTGTTTGTTTACACTTCACATCCTTGCTGAAGGCTATTTAAATACCAGTATTTACACATGCATGGTGTCAACAGATCTGAAGGACTGTATTAAGAAAGTGTAGACTCCCAAAATGTTCCTTCTTGGAGAGCAGAAACATAACATGTATGGTGTGAAGCGAATGGAGAGACATCCCAAAGGATACTGTGTGCCTCATTTTTACTCCTATAACTCAAGGATCTGACTGCAGAATGGCATATTTACATTTGATACAAGTGGTGTTGTGGCAGCAGTGCGGCAGAACGCAGAAGGCTGGAGAATGCAGCCGGCAGCCAAGAATAAACCGTTGATTGTCCTCCTACCAAACACACACGGAATGGATGATGAATGACTGCTACAGAGAAGCTACGTTGTGCAGATGGTCAAAGATGTTGTTTAAAGTGACGAGTGCAATACTTTCTTATGATGTATGGACCATCACTGCTAATGGGCTATAAGATGATTCATCCGAACCTTATGGTTCATCTCAGCTGTGCCACAAAAATAGTCTTGTCTCTTTTAGGTCTCATGAACCAGCACTGCAAGGTCAATTAAGTAAACAATTAAGACAAACAGTCCTCACTCTGTTATAGTAATGATATTCATCTCTGCAATGGAGTCTTTTAAACAGATCTCTCCAATAAACAGCCTGCTTTTGCTTGCGCTATCAAAGAAAGCACCCAAATGACAAATGTGTTGATTAGAGCAGTTCAAGAAACAACTTTGTAGCTATTTAAGTAATCCATAAAAGTATTGCATGCATGTTTGTTGTGATATGCAGACGCTATGGGAGTTTCAAAATGGCAGGCAAGTCCGAGGGCAGAGGATGCCGACAGCCCATCCAGAGACAAGGGGAAATCTTTAGAAGTGAGAAGAAATAGTCAGGGTTGCCTTTCAAATATTAATGTTGCGGAGCGATGGCAAATCAGTAAAGATGTCTCCTTGCAGACTGAGAGATAACACCTAAAGCTTTAATGGCTTTTCTCACTTTTAATTTTCCTTTGCGTGTTAAAAATATATATATAATTCGCTCTTACATCCCCATTGGCCAAAGATATAAAATCAGTTGAAATGAACACTTTACATTTCTACCGTGACATCCTCTTGGTGTTTTTCTTCTTTTTTTTTTTTTTGCAACATTCAGTAGGCCCATCTAAAATTATAAATAATATTTAAACGAAATGACTGCATGGGCTAATTTTTCAAAAATGACATTCTCAATACATGTAAGCCAACTATTTCTAAACAACATTTTTTCTTAATTGCCATATACACACATATAAAGACACTTTTTCTTTTTACATTTTACAACCAGAACTATAACATTGCCTTGCCACAAGGTCAAATTCTGATAAGAGACTTACTGACCTTAATACACAGTCATGAGGGTCTGCAGGTGTCCTCTCTACTATGATGTAATCTGTTTTATGTATTTATTTATTTTTACTCCACGACTTTTATTTAACAGACAAATGTTTTTTTTAAACAATAATAATAATAAGCAATTTTGTTAAAATATTAGAAAGACAGACAAACCTTTTTCAAATATTAAGTACAACAATAATAATAAGCAATTTTGTTTAAATATTCTTTCTATAAATAACAATAATAATAAAAGACAGGTATATCAGGACAGTATCCCCCCAAAAATATACAAAATAATTTAAATTTATAACATGAAATGCATGTGCATCATAGATGAGGTGTATTCATTGTATGAATACATTTTTAATGTGTTTTAATAAATTATTAGATTGGGCAAAACATTTTGTCAGTGGGTTAAATTGTACATGGAGTCAGATATAAGGATGATTGCAGAAAGCAGGCTCACTGTTTATCTGTCAGTGCCAATGCACTGTAGTTTTATTATTTATGATTTTCTCTAGAGGGAGTCTTTGGAAACAGGGCTCTTGGGTGTTAGGGTTTTGCCTCGATCTGCTATGCACACATGTGGTATAATTTGTCTGACTGTAGCTGGCAAAAGAGCCAAGGTTAGACGTTTCCTTAGATGTAACATTACCTAAACCTTTTTTTAGATACACATGTATATCTGTCTACAGAACAATGCATGCAATATAGCTGTTCTTTCTCTTTTAGATCAGCTAGTTGATGGGCAGACCTGTCAGCCTTTGGAACTAAAGTTTCC